TTATATATATTTTATATATATATTTTTTTATATATATATATATATATATATATATGAGAAGACAATTCCCCAAAGAAGTCAAATATCTATCAAGTTCAGATGATTTCACTAAAGGCAACTTGGTTTAAAGGAAATAATTTACAGAGAAGATACAAAAGTCTCAAAGTTTGTTTTTGTCTTCTATTTGCCGCGTGACAGAAGATATCTATTAAAATGGTTCCTGTGATTGGCCATATGGGCCTCCTATGTCAGACCAAGAGCCTCCTTCATCTCAGCAGACTAGGGTTACTCTGTGATCTTAGAGGAAGATGGTGAGAGAGAGAGAGAGAGAGAGAGGGAGAGAGCATATGTTTGTTGTTGTGCTGAACGTGTCCTCACAACGGCTTTGTGAGAAGTTGTGACAGTTGTTGCTTTAATTTGTTCAACCCACGTGGGGTTTTCTTTAACCTACCATAGGATTTTAAGTCCATTCTCCATCACTGTGGCTTTATTCCAACTCGTCCTCAGTCACTGTGACACCCTGAAAGCTGACAGTCGGGGATGGACATGTAGATGATGCATAGCACAGATAGTTAAATAATTTTTGGATGTTTCCATATTCACGTAATCGTAATAAGTTTGGTTTTCTTCACGAAAATCATTGGGATTATTTAGTGTATATAAATATATATAAATATATAATTCCATGTGTCCCACAAATCTCCCTGCTGTGATTGAACTTCACAGAGTTGAGGCTCGAGTGTCTTTAGGCAGTACCACTCATATGTATAGTATGTCAGTTTGATGAGGGGTATGATGTGCTTGGTTACTGAACACTGATTTTTGAAGTTTTGAAAAGTCTCCATGTTGATTTTTCTCTGAATACATACTTCTGTATGTAGATATGGGTTTGATTTTGTTCTATTTTGTTTTTGAGATAGAGATGCAGTGTTGATTTGTGTATGTTTAATACAGTGGGAGGTTTGGTGAACATGTAAGTGCCACGGGAAGAGTTCCCTCCACACACGAACAGGGTAAAAGAGGAGTTGCTCTTGGGGATTTGAAAACTGAACAGGAAGAGTCTTGAGGATGTATCATGTAACGAAGTAGATTTCGGTCAGTACCGCATAGCGTCGGGGAGATGACCTTACTTTAGGTTTTATCATAAGGAGGGAACCCCCTGTTTCCCTTTTATGTTTGAATATATGACTAAATGTTGTTTTTAGGACCATTATCCCATTGAATTCCCCTCGCAACGTCCTGTACATAACATGCAAATACAGTTAGATCTGAATATGGTGCATCCCCAGAGTTTCCTGTTTGGTTTTAACCACGGTAGGCTGCTCAGAATCCGTAAGTTTTTAACTCTGCATTGTGGTTGTTAAAATACTGGAACTTGAAATCTATACGTGAATGGAAATCTCCCACAAATTAGATGGATTCATCTTTGGCGAGATTTCCCTCAAGATTGGCAACATAACACGTTAACAATGCCTGCAATATACAACTTATGGTACACTATCACCAGCAAGCTTTACAGAATTTCATGTTAGTAGACATTTCTGAAGTTTTTTGTATAACTGTTACCATTACAAATCCTGTCTGTAAAAACATGTATGGTATCATTCATAGACAACAGTAGGCCATCTCCCATGCAAAGGATTTCAAGTCTTTATTTTGTCTCTTTTTGTTCTTCCCATTAGGACAGGGATTGTAATGGAATCAACTTAATGTAGTTCTTACAAAAAGGAGTGTCCACATGGATGTACACCATAATCTACCTAAAAAACCTACCTCTTTTAGCTCAGATTTTGCTTTAGCATTAAGCATTTGCCTCTGTTTTTACTTTTGTAATATTTGTATTCATGTTGGTATTTATTGCTGTCTAATGAGTCATACTTCAATGATTACCTCAGAGATATCTCACAGATTTGGGAGAGTCCAGCTAATGAAGTCATTCATAGTTCATAGTTTGTTTTGTTTTGGTTTTTTTTTTTTTTTTTTTTTTTTTTTGTACATTTTTTTTCTTCTCAGACTTAGCATTGCCTTTTTTTTACGCACAAAATACCAGGAGTGTTTTTAATACAGTGCCTCCACTCTGACCAACAGGGCTCAGACTGGCGAGAGTGAGGCTGCATTTACCCCCAAAAATCCTTCTCTGCATCTTTGTCCTTTTGCTCTATCCTTTGGGATATCTCGGTAATTTTCAGCAGCAGATGCAATTAATCTTGTTGCATGTGTTGCTGATATCTTCCTCATCCTTGTAGTTCTGAAGGGCAAACTGAAGGGGTGGAACTTTAATGGAGTGAATGCAGTTGTAAAAGAAGGAACAACCTGAAAGACTTTGTGGCAGGAGGAGAAACGAGAGGTGTGTTTGTGCTCCACTTGGTACTGTTAGCATGGTCTTTGCTCTGTAGTACACCATCCTTACCATGTCCCTCTTATTTGCCATTTCCTCCATACCCTCTCTGTGTCTTCACCTCTCCTTCTGTCCTAAAGTCTGCTCCCGCACCTTCATCATTCCCTGACGATGTTTGGTCTAAGAAGGGGAATTAGAAGAAGTGAAATCCTCAGTATCCATGCAATGCTGCTTTTTATCTCAAGCATCACCAAGTCGTGTGTTATTGACACTACATAATGCAGGCATCGTCCAAAATGTCGGACCCTCATCGGGGCGACATTTGCCTCATTGGAAGACCGTGTCTTTTGAAATTAACGCAACTTAGTGGTGCTTATTGGAAGAAAAAAAAAATTCCTTTTGGATTCTAGTATCATATTAACAGAGCAACTACTCACTTTGGTGAATTTAAACCAAGTTTTTTTGTATTCATGTCAAACTGCTTCAGGTAAACACTGAATGAAATAAGAGAGTTTTTATTGATCAGTGAATACTGAGGAACAATGTTGCCATGGTCACATCTACCCTGAGCTGTGTGCCATAGTATGACCCCTTTAATGCAGGGGAGGGTGTTAATGAAGCTGGCTTCAGATGTTCCCCAGCTTAATTTGAGTGAGAAGGTTGCCCGAGTATTAGATTGGCCTCTTTCTTAGTACTCTTACAGCCATGTGTATTGATCTTTTATAAGGAGTAAATTTGACTTTGGCATTGAATTCTCACCCTGCATTGTGAACCCAAATCATGCCACATTCAATTAAAATGCCTGAACCAACAAAAGCACTTAATGTAATGTTTGTAACACATGCATACTGATGAATCTACTTG